TTTTGATATTAAAATTAGTTTGCTAACCCTTGTGTCGTTCTAAACTATTGCTTCTGTAGTACTAACTAACCCGTCGAACCTACCTAACTGCTCTTCCCAATAGTAGACGTCGTTACCTTTCTCCGCGACCAAAACAAGACGTTAGATTGATTAGTATTAGCCATACCACAACAAAACATACGACTGCGCTCCCCGGTCTATAAACGGTAAAGTACCCTTGTTTCCATTACCAGTTCATAGAGGATCGACACACAGAAGGCGGGGGGTCTTTAACCTTACAGCGTCGTTTCCAACAATAAGATTAGTTTTTTTTTTTACCTTACCACCCCACATATATAGGGATCGGTGCACCCCCGAACACCTTGAGGCTCGTTCTACGTGTTAGAATATTTATTAGAGTTAAAGTATGGATGGCTATTTTTAGACTTCGCTGGGGCCATACGAGAAAGTACGTAAATTTCGGTAATTTATGATGTCGAATGCCTTTCTCAGGTAACCCTAACCCTAAGCCCCGCTTAAGTGCGTATTTTATGTGGACCCGCAATAAGTACGTAATATTCAAATAAGTACGAAAAATACGAGTCAAATCCTGTAAGAAAATCTACTTTTTGCCAGATTACGTCGTCTGTGAGTAAGTTTTGTATACCGCTTTCTTTGGGGGGATTGTAGCGTACATTTAGTGGGACATATTGTTCTATACAATCATGTAGTATTGATCAACCCGTTTTGTTTTTATTCGTACAAATGTTGTCGTCTGGATTTTTTTTGTGACATTTGGCAAGTCGAGCGGGGTGGATCATCTGCGGCTAACCTAATTATTCGGATTGGCATAAACTTTTCGGGCAAAATTTCAAATTTTGATGTGAAAATCATTAAAAAACATGAATTTTCATCACTTTTCAACATTTTGTCGACTAAAACGTTAATAACTTTTTCTCCTGAAATTCTTTTTTCAATGTGACTGAATATTAGGTGTTCGGTACTGTTATTATACCTAGATCAATCGTTGTTTCGGGGAAATTCCCAAATTTTTCGCAAAAAGTGGTCTTTTTTGGGAGTTCATGGCAACTAGTTCGGATAGATGAAATTAGTCGTCACTCTCACCGGTTGGAAATAAATTCACGCCATTTTGGAAGTTGGAATGCGACAGACTGATATGAACCCACTTTAAGGTGCGGAATTTTACGGAGATTACGAATCTGCTCGATCCAAACGATTTGCATCATTTTTGACTTCACGGTAGTCAAACGCGCGATCATTTCGGTACAAAATCACGTTTTTCGTCGATTTTTAGGCATAAAAACGAGTCTGTACAAAAAAGTACCAAAATTCAGCTTGATGACGATAGCTGACGAGAAAGAGAATGAAAAAATACATCTGGTCCGTATAGTTACAAAGTCTAAAAATGTTTCATATATAGACTTGTTTTGGGAAATATGAAAAAAATGTTGAATTTCGGCGAAAAAAGACGTCATTTTAGGCCTTTTTTTCGACCTCGGGAAATGCAACTGCGACAAGACTACTGGCTCTCTGCCCGCATAACTTTCTGAGAACTTGTGGGTAGGTATGCGACAAGTCGTCCCGGAGTCCGATTGTACCAGATGTCGCTGGCGCGCTGAGACGGTACGTTTTAGAGGTTAAAAAAACGCCTTTCTCGCCGAAAACACACGGTTTTGAGAATATCTCGACAACCAGTCCGATTCAGCTTTCTGACGTGGTTGCATTCGATTCAGCACGTCATTTTACATCAGAAAGGCTATGTCCGAATTGGTAACAAAGAAAGTGCAAATTTGATATCGATTTTGCAAAAAAAGTACAAAGTGTACATAAAATGTGACTTTTCCACGAGAAAGGCCATAAAAAACTACGTCGGGTACACCCGGTCCGAGAGCCAGTTCGATTCGATTTGACAGGTTTATTCATTGATAGGTACGTTTATCGGTTTAGACAGGGAACCGTTGAAGTGTCGCATAATACGACTGGCCCACGTGAAAGAGCATGCAAAAGTGCCCCTAGAACATAGGTGGGGTTAGGTGTAACTCATCTGTATACCGTATAGAAAAAGCAAAAGAAAGTGCAGATATACGGTTTATCCATTTTGCAGAGACAGGATGGATGGTGCATAAAACGAGATAGTACCACAAGAAAGAAAGAGCATACAAAAATACACATACTCCATACAGTTAGCCGACCCAATAGAGCCAGTTATATGTGTATATACATCGATTTATAGTTCAAATCGAGTTTATATCGTGTTTGACAGGGTTCTGCTTACATGTCGCACGATATGAATGGCCCACGTGAAACAGCATACAAAATTACATATAATCCATACCGTTAGCCGACCTACAATCGATCATAACATATGTTTTATTGCAAGTAAATAGTTCCAATCATCTTCATAACGAGTTTGAGAGGGGATCCACTGACATGTCGCACGATATGAATGGCTCACGTGAAAGAGCATACAAAAATACATATAATCCATACCGTTAGCCGACCTACAATCGATCATAACATATGTTTTATCGCAAGTAAATAGTTCCAATCATCTTCATAACGAGTTTGACAGGGGATCCACTGACATGTCGCACGATATGAATGGCTCACGTGAAAGAGCATACAAAACTACATATACTCCATACCGTTAGCTGACCTACAATCGATCATAACATATGTTTTATCGCAAGTTAATACTTCAAATCATGTTCATAACGAGTTTGAGAGGGGATCCACTGACATGTCGCACGATATGAATGGCTCACGTGAAAGAACACAAAAAACTACCCCTAGAACATGTGCGAGGTTAGGTGTAACG